AAAAAAAAAAAAAAAAAAAGCCTTTGGTACTGCACATGGCCAAGTATGTATGCAGTACATGTGCACCTGTTACTGAAATCTCGGGGTGGGAATTTTCTAGGTTGAGCTGGGTGTCCGTGAACAAGGCTGAAAAGCAGGACCTGAGTATGATCGTATGTGTCCCTGGGTCTGCTTGCTCTAGGACCTGGAATCAGACTGCATGGGCTCCGACTCATTAGCAGGACGACACCCAGGTGGCTAGGCCAGAGGCACCTTCACGCCTCTTCTAAGTGGTGGCCCCGCCCGGCCAAGGTCGTGCACCACGCACTCATGGGGCTGAGTGCACACCCGGATGTCGCACCCAGATCCCCTTCAGTGGCTGCCGGGTGGTGGGTTTCGGACCGAGGTCTCTGGTCTACGAAATTGGGGTGTTGATTCCCCACTTATTATGACTCTAGAGACAAGATTCCGCGACGGAGCCCAACCAGGCGCGGCGTGAGAGGGGCGCTGGCCTGGACACCCGGGCCTGGGAGAAGGATGCGCCGACAGCGATCCCCAGGGTCTGGCCCTACCTGAGCCGTCCCCCCCCACCCGCTGTGACCCTGAGTCGGACTCAGACTGCGAGCTGAGGCGGCCTCTGGGCCTGGGCGTCGCCCGGGAGCTCGGGCTCCGCAGGATCCACGGCGGCGGGGCGCCTCATAGATCTAGCATATGGTAGGGTGCAGGGACGGAAGCGAGTCTGTGGAGCCAACACCCACACCACCAAAAGGAAACGCAACTCATGCCGCAGAGCCACTCTTGGGCGCATGCGCGACTCTCCCAGCCGCAGGATTTGGGCAGGGCGCACGCGCACATTTACCGCAGCAAGTTTATTGGCGAATGGTTACATCAGCCTTCTCAGGAATTTTCTACCTATAATTCTCTGGGCTCGCTCTCCTTTCTGAATGCGCATGCGCTAGATATACTCCCGCCCTAAATCCCGTGGGCCTCTGCGGGTTACTATTTAAGAATCTCGTCGACGCACACAGGGTCTCATTTTTATGTAGCTGTTGGTGAGTCTTCTTGTGGTGGTGTCTTTTGGGCTTCTGGTTAACTTTATTTCGGTACTGGGAATCGAACTCAGGTCCTTGGTTAACGTTATTTTTTTGCTTTTGGTACCGAGAATCGAACTCGGACCTGGCGCTTTCGAGGCAAGAGGCGGAACTACTGAGCTAAATCCCCGGTCCCTGGTTACCTTTAAATGAACTCAGGAGCGTTTCGCCCTGTAGGCGTTTTTCTTTGTGGTACCCATTTGGTTGCCAGGGAAGAGAGGTCTAATGCAGGTCCTTGAGCTGGAAGCCACCAGGGGACGTGAAGGACAAAATGGCCGTCGCGGTGGAGGGTGGTGTGCGGGTGGCCGCGCCCCTATGATGAGGACTTCACAGACCTGTGCTGACCTCTATGAGGATGACTCTGTCTGAGGGGACGGCTGATGGCCCTCCCAGCCGTGGAGCAAGAATATACCTGGTACTAATATCTTTTGTCTCTTTGCAGGGCGCGCGTCTAAACACGGGATCCAGAGACCGCCTTCCCCCTCCCGGGTGAGTAGCGTGGCTCTCCCTGTCCCTGACTGCGAGATCTCTCGGATGTGCTGCAAGGATGATTTAAGAACTGAACTCTCTCTTTCTGATGGCTCCATGGAGAAAGCAGAAATTCTGAGTAGCATCATCTGCACCAGATCTCTGAACTTTATATGTCTTGAAGCTGAGGTGTTAGTACAGGGTGCTCTCTTTTCAGGTGCACTTCAGCTCAAGAGTTCACTGCTTGAAGAATGAAAGAAGACCCATCCTTCTACACAACGAGTATCCCAGCTGGAGCAACGCTCCAGGTGGGTGCACTGTTTATCTCGTGGTGGGGAGGAAGGACTTTGGAGGACACTCCGTGATGAACATAAACGACAAGCATATGGCTGAGTCTTGAGTGATGTCATCTTAATACTGAGAAGTGGACCATAGCTATAGAGAAAGTTTTACATGGTCTATTCTCAAGTATGAACAATGCCTCTTTCTGTCTCCAGCATCTCCTAACCAGTCCTGAGTTGAGTTACTGCCCAGGATGAAAACAGGTAATTTTCCAAATGAGGGCTTGGGTTATATTTTGTCCCTTGAGTGAAAAACACTTCTCAGGAGGGTGAATGGTCCAGAGAGCATGGTTGCCATTCTTTTGCTCCTTCCACCTTGTTCTTGAAATTATTTGGAGAAAGCAGCCCAATAGCACAGTTGGTTCTTATAATGGTGTGCTCTTCCCTCATCCACTTCACTGTCAGATGATTTGAATCAATAAGCTGATGCTCTGTGAAGTATGACAGTTAAGAGCATGTTAGAGTTCTGATGGCAGTTTTTGGTAATGAAGAATGCTTTTTTTGTCCTTAACACTTAAAAGTAATCTTTTGTTTCCCCTTTTCCCAGGTTGTCCTGATACTTTCCTCCATCTGATGGTAAGATGTTTACCTTGCTTTTGTTGTAAACATGAATCCATTATCCATGGGACAACAAATCTGATCCAGGCATAGGTTTTCTGCTTTCTCCTGTTATCTGTAGTGACATTTATTGTTCTCCCCTTATTTCTTAGATGGCAGCTGGTCTCAAGACTCCGGACTCCTAGAAAAAGTTGAAAGTGGCAAGTACTTGCCAACTGTAGCTTGCTGGACTCCAGTGCCAGTGAGGAGCAAGTATCCTGTCTAGTCCCCAGAGCAAATAATGGTGAACCCACTGGGATTACAGAGAAAGATGAAAATGTTCCATCAAAGCTGTCTAGCATAGCAAATGTGTCCATACCTAGCACATTTATCTTTAGTTCATCCAGTAACAGTGGCTCGTGTGCTACTTTGCTGTTTGTAATGCTTTGCTAAATAATTCTCTGATACAGGGTTGTTCCTGTATACCACTGGAGATCTTCCAACAATGAGGTTAGTTGCAGTTTTTTTTTTGATCTTACCAACTAGGCAGTTTCCATGATGAATTAAACTAGCTCACTATGACTGGAAATGAAAACACACGAACACCTGAGAAACTGGGAGGTATGGGAATGGAGAGGGATATAGGTTGTGAGGAACTTTGCTGCCAACTATAGTTTTGTATTTTGTGCAGGCACTATTCCCAGCAGCCTACTTGGTTTAAAGGTGAGTGATTTTGTTGCATGTTAAATGTGTGCCAGGTTTTTTAAAATGCCGCTTGGGCCAGGGATTTTAGCTCAGTGGTTTTGCCGCCTGCCTCGCAAATGCAAGGTCCCAAGTTCAATCCCCAGTACCAAAAAAAAAAAAAAAAGCCTCTTGAGGGCTGTGCATGATGACTTACATGGAATCTCGTTCGGCTGATGACTTGCTGTTGAGATGTGGAAATCTGATTTCTTTTTTCTAGGGATAACTGCTTAGGTGACTATACTACATGTAGGCATCACTGATTGAGTCTTGTACATTTCAGATCCAGCATCTTATTTGGAGGTCGGGAATGATTTCAGGTAAAGATCTTTGTAGTGCTGCCATACAAAATCTGTGCCTCTTATGTGGGTATGGTGGCACTTCTGGTCTACATGGCCAGCTTTCAACTACTAATGATGAATTAATACTGCTCACCAATGATGAATTGGATACCGCCCCAGTCTGATCACTGTGACAGAAAGGTATTTTCTGAGTTGAGCACACCTAAGTAACAATAGAAAGTTAAGGAATAGGCTTTATAGACAGTGATTTGGGGGACTAGGTAGTGGTATATGTATATGCCTTGAAATAAACATCTCTATACTGTGTATATGTTCGTTTTCTCTAACCAATAGTGATAGCTGAGACTTCACTCCCAGTCACTTTACAGAGAAAGGAAATAATGTTTTGGTTTTGTTTTTTAAGACAGGGTCTCACTATGTAGATAAAGCTGGTGTGGGATTCCCAGTGATCCCCGTCTTAGCCACCTGAGTGCTAGGATTACAGGGATACACCACCAAACCCAGCTGCAAACCATGTTTCTTCTCAGCTTCAAGCCAAAGTGAAAGGTGAGTGCACATGAATATAAAGTGAATTAAGCTAAAATTTCCCAGTGATGAGACATTCACAAGTCTTACTTCCTGTCCTAGCCCCAGAGCCTGTAAAGGTGAACCCACTGGGGCTGGCTGGGGGAGAAGAAGAAAATTTGTTTCAGAAGGAACTGTCTGAGGGATCAAACATTTTCTTTATACAAGGAAGGAAAAAAATCATCAGTTACTGAAACATGGATTTTTTTTTTTTTCCCAGGTCTCAGGAAATCTGTTCGAATGTTGGTGTCTGGTATTTTAATACATAACTGACATAGATTCGGTGCTGCCCAAAAAGCAACATTTTGTTGGCTGATCAGAGGGTATGACTCCTATAAATCTGATTGTGGACATTACCATCCCAGTAGTCAAAGAACTTTCTCTGGAAGGAGTCAAAGTTTCAGAGAATGACCAGGTCTAGGTCTGGCTGTTGAACTTGGCATGTAATTGCTTCCATCTCCATAATAAAGCTGTTTTCTCACCTTATTGTGTGGTTCTTGCTTTGGAATGGTTCCTGGGGACTGACTAGGAATGAGCTCTGAGACAGCTCTTGGGGACTTTGTCTAACTTGCCATAGCAGTTTGTAGTGTAGTGGTGTCTTCCAGCCCAAGGACACATCAGCAAATACACATTAAAGGGACACTGAATGGGCCAGGAATTTAGCCCAGTAGTTCCACTGCCTTCCTCAAGCTCGAGGTCCCGAGTTCTGTCCCTGATGCCAGAAGGGGAGGGACACTGAGCTCAAAGACACCCCCTTTTTACCTTAGTATGGGATCATTACCTAGTGATTGGAATTTTTGTTATTGGTACAGGGGTCCATTGCACTTGCAAGGCAGGGAGTAGAACGACTGAGCTAAATCCCTGGCCCCTTGATTGGACTTTTGAAGGCTATGAGAACAAAACCTAAGGACCACTACCATTGAACCCAGGTCTTTTGTAATGGCTTTTGAGCCTTGTATACTCTAATCCCAGCACTAGGAGTCTGAGGCAAATTCAAGGGCCTAGACGTTTTTGCATAGCCTAGTCTGGTCTGGGGTAAATGAGTCCTTGGCCTGACCTGGGGATGAAATAGAAAAGGGTAGGGGTAGAGTATTGTGTCCTCCCACCTCATTGCCTGTGCATGGCATTTAATGTCTGCCCTAGCAATCCCACCATGAAGTATCTCAGCACCGTTACAGCCACAGCAGGGTGCCCACCAAAAAAAGACTAGATACCTTTCCTCTGTTGCTGCTGACTTCCTCCTAGAGGAAGGAGGGTCAGTGAGGAAATAAATGGTTCTTCACCAAGATGTGATTTCTTCTAGGGGACAAGTAGCAATGTCTGGGCATTTCTGGTTGTCCTAGCTTAAAGGATATTACTAGTTGGTACCAGAGGTCCTAGAAGCAGCTAGACAAGTTTATGGCACACCAAACTTCCTCTGAGCAAGGCTTGGGTGCTCTGAATGGATAAATGAACCCTTCAGAGTTGGAGCAGGCCCAGGTTGAGGCCAGGCTGCTGGGGTTTGGACTTTGCCAAGTCCCCACAGATCTGTGCCCTCGTCTGTTGCAAAGGCTGGAGGCAATTGAAGCATGTTACATATATGTCCCAATCTGCCTAAAGGAAACCTGTTAATCTGTTAGAGCCAACTTTAGTTGTTTTTGGTTTTTTTGTTCCTGTTATTGGGCCTGGAATTCTGGTCCTTGTGCTTGCAAGGCAGGCAGTGGAACCACTGAGTTAAATTCCTAGCCCTTAGAGCCAACTTTTAAAAGGAAAAATAATCACTTGGGCTGATGAGAGAAAAAGAGATCCTTGAGAGGTTGTGGTCACAGTGAATGATGGGGCCCAAGGGAGAGAAGCTGCTTCTCCCTGGAACAGCATCGCTCTGCTATAAGACTTCAGATCTGTGTGCCAGGGCTGCTGGATACCCATTCCCAGCCCCTTAGTCCCTGTGAGTACTTCTGTGCCTATCAAGAAGGTTGTGTTACTGTAGCCACCACAAAGTGATACAGGAACTTTGAAAACTTTCAGTTTTGTTTTCTTGCTCAAGACTGAATTACTTTAGATGAAACACATTGTTGACCAATAAGCTTTAGTATTGACTCAAACTTGTAATCCCAGCACCATAGACTGGAGGCTGAGGCAGGAGGATAACCACAAGTTTGAAGCCATTCTGGGCTACATAGCTCAAGGCCAGCCTAAACTATACTGTGAGACCCCGTTTCAAAAAACAAAAACTAAACAACAAAAAAAGAAAAAGTTCTAAAACCAAGGTCAACCAGGTATTTGGACTTCCTCCATATTGTGTTGAGTTTTAAAATTTATAAAAAGCCAGGAAAGTACATTTGGGCAGGGGATTTAGCTCAGTGGTTCTGCCACCTACCTCAGAAGCACAAGGACCGGAGTTTGATCCCTGATAACAAAAAAAAAAAAAAAAAAAAAAGCCAGGCGTGGTGGATCACACCTGTAATCCCAGCACACCGGAGACAGAGGCAGGAGGATTGCCACAAGTTTGAGGCCAGCCTGAGCTACATAGACTATAAAGCGAACTATAAAGTAAGACCCTGTCTCAACCCCCCCAAAAAAATACACACACACACACACACACACACACACACACACACACACATATTATAAATAAAAACAGACAAAAGCCAGGGAGATAGCTCAGTGGTTCCACTGCCTGCCTAGCAAGCACAAGGACAGTTCAATCCCCATTACCAAAAAATAAAAACAGACGAAAGTAAAATTTTTTTTCTTTTTATTGAGTTTATTGGTACCACCTAAGTATATAATACAGTTACATTCATTACTGGGATCCTCTACCTTCACATGACAGGTCTTGGTTCTCATTTTTTTCCCTTGTCCCTGCCCTCCCTTCAACCCCTCCTCCCCTCCCCATTTACAAACACTTTATTTCCATTTTTTTATTTTCTCATATTTTTTCTTTTCCCTTGTTCTCTTTCCCCTACCCTTCCCACTTTCCCTACACCTTTAGCCCTTTTCTTCCTATTTCACACTATTAATTATCCCATTAGGATCTTGTGTACTGTTATAGTTTTTCACACCAGAGAGACTATTCGGTAGAAAGTACAATTTTTATTGTTTGTTTGTTTGGGTTTTTTTGTTTGTTTGTTTGTTTGGTACCGGGGATCAAACTCTGGTTCTTGTGCTTGCAAGGGAAGTGGAAGAACCACTGAGCTAAATCCCCGGCCCACCATTTTTAAAAAGCAGCTCCTCTGCGTGCCCCACAAGGACAAGGTCTTGAGTTCAATCCTGGTACCCCAAAATAAAAAACAGCTTAGTGAGTTAAGAGGTACAGTGTGGGGCAGGAGATAAGCTATCACTTTTTTGTTGTGTGTGTGGTTTTTTTTGTTTGTTTTTTTGGTACCAGGAATCAAACTCAGGTCCTTTAGCTTGTGAGGAAGCAGTGAAACCACTGAGCTAAATCTTCTGCCCAAGCTATCACTGTTTTGTTTGTTTGTTTGTTTGTGGTAACAGGGATTGAACTTGGGCCCTTGTGCTTTCAAGGCACGAGGCAGAACCACTGAGCTAAATCCCCAGCCCCTATCACTATTTTTATTATGCAATTTTTTTTTCTACTACTGGGTATTGAACCCAAGACCTTTATTACACCTTTGTTTTGGTACTGGGGATCAAACTCAGGCCTTGCACTTGCAAGGTGGGCAGTGGAACCACTGAGTTAAATTCCTGATGACCCCACTTTATTACACTTTTGTTTTGTTATGTTTTTTGGTACCGGGGATAGAACTCGGGTCCTTGTGCTTGCGAGGCAGGCAGTGGAACCACTGAGCTAAATCCCCAGCCCTTATTATACTTTTGAGACAAGGTCTTGCTAAATTGCCTATATGGGCTTGAACTTAGCTTCCTCAGCCTCCCACAGCAGAATATGGAATTACCAGGAAAAAAAAATGGGATTACAGCTAGGCATGCACCACCATTCCAGGCTTGTTATAAATCTTTTTATATTACTTGACAACTTAAGGTGTAATGGTACCTTGGTTCATGAATGTGATTCTTTCCATGATTCTGGTTATAACCTGAATTGAATTAGAATCAAATCATATTCAATGGTGAGGTTCTACATTGACTTTATGGGGAAATCTGATTTAGTTCTTATCCAGTTCAGTTTAAAGTCAGCAAGGTGGTATATACCTGTAGCTCCAGCTCTCAAGGCTGAGGCGGGAGGATCACTGCGTAAAGGAGTTTGAGACTAGCCTGAGCAACACAGAGATCCTGTCTCAAAACAAAACAAAACAAACAAACCAACAGTATCATGGCACACCCCTGTCATCCCAGCATTCAGAAGGCTGAGGCAGGAGGATCACTGTGAATTCAAGGCCAGCCTAGACTACAAAGGAAGACCCTGTCTCAAAACAACCAAAAAAGAAAAATAAGGTTAAATGTACCCATATGGAAAGTATTCTTTCCTTTTTCTCCTTACCCATCACCCAAGCCAGTAAATCTCTGGGACTTCCTCTCCTCTACATGCCATCTTCAACTTCTGTCAATAGGTTCCTGAGCCCAACGACACTGCCAGTCAAGAGTCCACTGCTCACCTCCCACGTGCTTGGCTGAGGCCTGGGCAGGGAAAGACTGAGTCTCACAGAATTTGGAAAAGGTTGGTGTTGAACCCAGGGCCTTTGTACTGAGCTACATTTCCAGACCTTATTTTTTCTTTGGAGACAGGATCTTGCTAAGTCAATGTACTGCCCAAGTACATGCCCACCCTGTGCGATGTAATGACTTAGTGAGACTTTGTCTCAAAAGAATAAAAAATAAAAAGAGCTGCCAAGGATTTAGCTCAGTGTTTCCACCACCTGCCTCGCAAGCACAAGGTCTGAGTTCAATCCCCAGTACCAAAAAATAAAATAAAATAAAAAAGGCTGAGAATATACCTCAGCATGAAGGATCTATGTAAGGGTCAGGAGGAATAGACATCTCTGGAGAACCGCAGTAGGTCCCAGCCTCCTGTGAGCCACCACAGTACCACTAAACATTAAAGAATAGCTGTCTTGAGACCTGGTCAGGGCTTCTCTAGGCTACAAAGACAAAAGCATATCCAGTATTTATTAAATACAATTGTGAAAAGGAATAGAGATCTAGGGAGCTTTGAAGTCATCTAGTGAATTACTGCTGAATGCCTTTCATGATGGCACCAGGCAGGGCTGTCAGGGTGTTGGCACTGTTTATCTTTCTAGGATAGAAGAAACTGGTAGTGGGACCAGGTGCAATTAGCAAGTGACCCACAAGGTCAGTGAGAAGCAATAATTTAGGGGAAAGGATTTTTTTTTTCTTGGTACCAGGGATCAAACTCAGGTCCTTGTGCTTGCAAGTTAAGCAGCGGAACCACTGAGCTAAATCCCCAGCCCGGGAAAGGACTCAGTTGCCTGTAGTTCAGCAGGAACCTGCCACTTCACAGACCAGGACTAAGCCTGGGTGACAGCCATTAGCAAAGGAACAATACGGGCCCAACTCTGCTAGCTCACATGACTGAGTCACTCAGGGCTTCAGTCTGACTCCTGATATAAAACAGTATAAACAAATTTGGGAAAGCAAGAAGCTGGTGCCACTCATAGCCTGCTAGAACTGGGCAGGGACATTTGCTACAGGCCTAGGTTCAATCTCCAGTAGAAAAACAAACAACCCTTATCCTAACCCTAACCCATCAAAGATGGAGATGAACACAGCACACCGGAGATAAGGATGCGATATGGGCATTATCGTCATGACTCTTGTGTAGGCCAATGCAAGACTAAGACATCCTGGGAGACAAAAATCTATGCTGTAACTTCCTATCCTTTTGGCTAGAAGTTAAGGGTAGTATTTGTTCTTAGCTTAATGTCTAATATATTTTCTATTTGAGAGCTATATATTAAGTGAATTTCTGAGGTTGGAAGGTGTAGTAAGATCTTTTTCTGTCCACTCCACATGTCTACTGGGTATTGCAGTATCTCTATGAATAGTGTGTCTACTTGTGGGAGCAGTTTAAAAATTAAGATCTGAGAGGCTACGCGTGGTGGCGCACACCTGTAATCCCAGCAGTCGGGAGGCTGAGGCAGGAGGATTGCTGTGAGTTTGAGACCAGCCTGGACTACACAGTGAGACCCTGTCTCAAAAAAAAAAAAAAAAAAAAAAAAAA